TGCACTACCTGACAATAATAATAATAATAATATCAATATGTACTCAAAATCAATCAACATTTGTATCTAGACAAACAATAAATACACAATCTTACCTAAGTTAGCATTATCAGGTAATGTAAATTTGATATCAAAGGCACCATAATTATTTAATTCGACTTTTGATTGTTGAAGTTGTTCACCACGAGGATCATAAATAGTATAATCAATGATACCTTGAGCATAAGTTGGTAATTTTGCATCACCTTTTACTTCTAGTAATCGAACATATCCTTTGATATGCACATCTTCCTTTGGTTTATATAGATTTCGATCATTAAATACATGCCAAACGTAAACATTAGGGTTTGATACATAAGAATAAATATCTGTTAGAATACATAGATCATCATCTTTTTCTACGATTAATATTTCATTTCCTGATTCATTATTTTCAGATTTATAGTTTAAAATACTGCATAATCCTTGTTGATTTGTTTCTTCTTTCTTGTCCCGTATTGAAACAATTGCTTGATTGACAGGTATACCAGACATTAATTCAGTAATCCATGCAGTTAATCTGACGTCTGTACCTATGAGAAAAAGAATCTATATATGGACGTACCTTCAATCTTCTCAAATATAATTACCTGAAGAAACAAATAGATCAACTGCTAATCGTGTACATTGTAACCAGGCTGATATAACCTGTTTACGTTCCCAATGATTACGTTGACATTCTTGCCATGCTTTTTCTGTTGGTTCAATAAAGATAATTAGTTGGCCTACACCAGAATTTTTTGTTAAATATGATTTTAAAGGAACTTTTATCTCTTTTGGTTCATCACGTTCACAATTGGTTTGTATAACTTCATTTAACAATTCTTCTCCAGGTAATTGATGGTACGATTCTTCTTCTCCATATCTGTAAAAGAATTGCTCAAAACAAGGTAAATTTAGATTATAATGTTCTGGTTTGACTCGATTAATACGCAATGTTATTTCAGAATAATTATAAACCATAAATGGATAAAATGGTTCATCCAATACACCAGGATCCATGATAATCATACCTATAAAAAAATTCTCTTTTTATTAATAATCAATGTCTTTTCTTTTTTTATGTACCTGTAGCACCCGATATATCTCCAAATAATGTTGGTGAATCATGTACATGAAACTGAATTGGTTGTTCAGAATAATCATGTTCTAATGTTTGACCATGAATATCTTTCAATAATTCTGATTGTATAACTAGTGTATAAATAGTATTTGGTTTAGAATTATTATGTATTGTTATTTGTCGATCATTGTATTCGACATGTTCAATACCTAATCCACTAACGTCTGGTTCGATTTTAAATAATGATTTATTAATAATCGAATGATCTAATGAACTATTGAATGTTACAGACCAACTATGGCCAGGACTACAGGATGCTTGGTATTCATTTTTTTTATTTGGGTACCAATCAATAATTTTTAGAGGTTCATAAGTCTGAAAATTAGCTGACCACTCTGATGTTGTTACTAATGGGCCTTCGGCAGATGGACAACCTGCCGGCAATTGAATTGTATATTGTGTTGCTTTTAATAAACCATTTTTAAATGTAAATGCAACATATTTCTCATCATTGCCTTCAATACCATCTATGTATGATTTAAATTCTTTTTTTGCTGTAACTTCATCTACTAGTTCTAATTCGTTATTTTCTATTTCATTTTTATCATTGCTTATTACACGTAAATACTGTAAAATTGTATTCCCATCAATTTTTTGATCAAATAATAGAAAACAGATCGGTTTCAGTGTTGAAACTGTTTCATCTGGTAAGAATTGAAGAACATTTGGTGTTGTTGTTGAGAATTCAAACAATAATTCATCTGCTAGTTTTCCTAAAAATAACGCGAACATTAAAGAAAAATGAAACTTCTCAGCTCTTCAGACAGATTTACCTCCAATTGCTGATACACAATGTTGTTTGTTAACTTTTAATATATATTTTGTTGAAAATGGTAAACGATGTTTTGGTTCAAACTGAACTGTTTTCGTTCCCGACCATCTCCATCGACCCTCTATCGCAGGTGTTAATGATATACCAAGATCTTCGATATTTATTTGATCATTTAATGATGAAACAGCAATCATAGGTTGATTAAATGTTATGGTAACAGTTGCCAATGGATAATTGATTTGTGTTTCACTTGGAGAATATCTTTCAATGATCAGTGGGCCAGCTTCTTGTTTAGCTAATTGTTTCAATTGTTCGATATTAAGATCAAGATCTTGTTTACGATCTTCTGAAGGTGGTGGAAATCGTGCTTGTATTATTTTACTTGTTTTTGGTGCTTCAATTGTTTCTTCACGTTTAAAAAATTCTTGATCATCCATCGAATCTGCAACCAATTCAGAACTACCTCGAGTGAATAACTGTTGTAATTGATCTGCAGTTAAGTTCTGTTGATGCTGTTGTGAATCATCATCGTTTAATGATGTCTTTTCAGCGTCAATTGTAATTTGTTCATCAGTTTCATTTGTTTCAGTAATATTAAATTGAAACTCATGGGGTTCAGATTGTTCATCGTTAACCGTTTGATCCGGAATTAGTTGTCGTATTCTCATTGTAATATCACAATAGTAGAATGAAAAGATAGTAGAACTATAATTTTATCTACAAAGAATATATTTTTAAATTTAATGAAATGAAACCATGGTAATAATCGTGAGTATGATCGAAGCATCTCATAATATCAAGTGTTACCTGATAGAAATATTGCCTACGAATTGAATTCGACAAACCAATTCAACGAGTAATGTATCATGTAATAAAACATGTTTAAAAACATTCTTGTTATTTTTCAATAGTTTCGTTGAAAATATTGTGCAATGAAGCGATTTTTGCTTGTTAATATGAGGCTACACGCATGGACTAATGATTGCAAAAATGGTAATTGCATAAAAACAAATATAAAATATATATTACGTATTTTTTATGTGGTTTTTTAACAAGCTTTTGCGTTCTGTGTACGTTATTTTTGTGTTCTGTCTTTGTAACTATACATATTTCGTATATAATTTGCTTTAAAGATTTTTAATATGCAAGTAAGGAAAAGAAGATAAAAATAATAAATCAAAGAGTTTTTAAGACAAGAAAAAAGTATGTAACAAATGTCACTGAAGATCGGCATTTACAGTGATGTAAACATTCTCATTATAATTCTTGTAGAAACATGCTTTGTTCTTGATCGAACATATACTTAAAATTATGTTAGTTTTTTCAAACTGATTGATTTTACTAGCGAGTAATTGATCTATGAAGTACTATGAAAAAAACAAGTGAAGTTGCTCTTTCAAGGAAAATGAATTGCAGAAACAGTTACTCTTACCATACCGTTTTATTCGAAGAGAAGCAAAATAAGCATGCTTTGTGATATTTTTCATTAATTATATATTGTAATTTTTTAACTATTTTTTGAAAAATCCACTTGAAATAAGCTAAGATATTTTCAAACTGTTATTATTTAGCTGAGGAAACTTGAATTCTACGCAGATGCTTGATTTTCTATAAAAACTATTTTCAAAAAAGTCAAAAAATCAGCAATAACTTTCAGAACATTTTAAAATCGATGTTGTTTCTTCGCAGATTACCAAAACAAAGATTGCCATATATTTACTGCCCTGTGTTGGTATATAAATTAGTCGATAATGTTAGATATTCATTATATCATCTTCAACAGCTATAAAAATTTGATCAATTTCTTTTAGGTATTACGCGAATTAATTAATTGTGTATAAACTTACAAATAGTTTTTTTTCTATAAATGGCTGATTTGCGAAATTAATGGTCATTCTAATTCATTTAATTGGGATATTATTTAAATGTGTTATTCTCAAACAATTGGAAATTCATCAGTGAATTCATATAGGCATTCCTATAATATTCCTCAACAGACTCTATAGCTTATTTTCTGGTTTACAATGTAACTTTGAGAAACTTAATTATATAGTTAGTAGATTGAAGGAATAACAAGTTATAAGTACTTACTATTTTTTTAAGAATTATTAGCGTTAGTTTCTTCAAAATAACAGAACTGTACTCTGATATAGCTATATGAATAACTGATAGACTTGATATTTTTAAAACATAAATTTCACGAAGAACAATACATTCTGCTTTTATTTTAAAACTGCGATGATGTGTGTTTGAATAACTGCAGAAATGAGAAATAAATATCCTCAAGAATTATTAGCTAAATAAAGACATTACATCTCTTTTATCATTATATGTTATTTTGTATCTTATCGAGTGAGGATGTCATGCATTTATCAACACATCAGACTGATCCCCATATCTGCGAAACATCTGAGCTATACCCTAGGAATCGTTATATAATACTTATTTTAATCTTAGATCGAAGTAAATTCTATAAAACTCTTCAATTTAAAATCAGTTCAGCTGGATGATCTACTTAGTATGTACGCCGACATCTACACGCAAATCCATATTTCTACGTTCCGTGTTGTTGTTGTTATTGTATCCATATACTATATATTTCTCTCAATGCTTTTTATTGTGCTCTATTATGATATTTATTTAATTTCATGATATTACAATATGTGCGTACTAGAACGTAAGAATCAATATTTTTCATCAAAAACATTTAGTTTGTTTTTTTACAATTAATTTTAAATGTTTTCGATACTATCAAACACATCAAAGAAAAGATCTTGTTAATGAGTGTGAATTTCATATTTTTGTTGTATTGCATGAAAGAGAAATGATATGCAATAGTAGTTGATGTTTGATATATTGTATGACGAATAACAAAGCGTTATCTATTTCTTTCCAAATATGTCTCTATCACATGTTCATGTTAGGTATTGTCATATGAGGATAGTAATGAATTGGTTTTGTCTAATGAAAACAGTTTTCTTCATTACTTCACTTGACTATATATACCCAAAACTATTCTCATAGTTTCACAAACCAGTTCTCATCGTACTTCAGTTTTACTTCACTTCACATTATTACTATTAATATGCCAGCCTGTTGTCGTTCAACACGTTGTGGTTGTTGTAGCAGTTGTTGTTGTGACCCATGCTGTAGTTCATGCTGTGACCCATGCTGTTGCTCATGTTGTGATTCTTGTTGCAGTCCATGCTGTGATCCATGTTGTTGTTCATGTTGTGATCCATGCTGTGATTGTTGCTGTGGTCCGTGTTGTGGCTCTTGTTGCGGTCCACGATGTTGTGTAACTAAAACTGTGTGCTGCTGCAAACCATGTTGCAAAGTCATCAGAAAGAAAACCGTTACCGTTAAAAAATCATGCACCAAGGTTTGCTGTTGCTAAATTATGACTTGTGCTCTTTTTCTATGAACTCATTCAATATCTAATGTATCAATGTTAGAGAGTACTCTCTAATAACATTCATATTAGTCTTTTTTTTTTCTTATTTTGTTCTGCATTTTTGTTTCCTTCTTGCACGACATAAAAGAAGATGTGTTTCATCATCTTCTTTGTTCTTCTGCTTATTTTCTTGTGTTCCCTGAATAAGGATGGAGACACGAATAGCTAGTTTTTTTAAATAAAATTATTTGGTGAATAACGAAAATATTCTTCTTCTCACTACACCAATTTAGTTTCTGAAAGAATCAGTGCAACCAAAATTTGCACAACATAAAATTTCGACTTGGTACAACCTAGAGGATGGATGGGAAGAGATCCCATCTCCTCAATTTTCGAGAAATGTCTCGATTTCTGGAGTACTCTTCTCCTACTTTTATCTCTTCATACTATTGTATGATCAAGGACTGCTCTTTGATTCAAAATGTTTGCCTCCGAGGTCCTTAATAACTTCACTGTTGGATTGCCACAGTCAGTTTTTCATTCAAAAAGTTTAGGAGTGTAATTATTTTGTCAGTAGCTCGAGAACGAAAGGAGATAAAAATTTGAGATTTTCGCCGTTATACACAAAGGATTTTAGGACATGAAATTATGTTAAAATCTTGCAGACGATTGTAAAAATAGTATCCAGATCAACATCCTCAAGGTTTGATTAAAATTGAGGTTGCCAAAAAGTTTTTGTTCATGCTCAGAATTTTCTAAACCTTTGTATAAAGTTTATGAATGAACAATCTGATTTCTTTGATCTCTAATACTTATCGTTATTAAAAATCAAGTTTAATCTATTCATCGCGGATCCGTATGAACCAATACAAACCATCTTGAGGGTGTGAGTGTGCAATATATTAATATTCATACTCATACGCATACTCACATCCACACCGATCTCTTACTCTTATTCTGCATTTTTATCAACATTATCATCGTTTGTTTTTGTTCTCGTTTCTTCATTTGTTTCTTTCTGAAAACAATATTTTCTTGATTTATCGTTTCGTCCGACGGCTTCACAATCAAAACACGATATACACTGTTTGCTTAGATACATTTATGTTAAAGTGTTAATCCTATGTCAATATATTTCCGAGTAGATCTCCTTTAGTTCTTAAGAATTTAACAATTGTATATATGAATATGGTAACAGGGGACGCTCTATATTATGGTAAATTCTATGGATGATAAAAATAAAGGAGAAAACACTTTAGACAACTTTAAATAAAAGAAAAGAAAGAAAAAAAAGAAAAAGAAAATTCCGTTACATACGTTACACAACAGAAAGAAGGAAATTCATGACGCGTTACAAATGACAGTAGGAAGATGAAGAAGAAGAAGAAGAAGAAGAATATATACGCATTCGTATGATGATGTAAATTTTTTTTCCCAGAGAGAAAATTTTTTTTTTATTTTCTCCGGCCGGTCGGTTGTGTACATGGGTAGATTCTGCGCCGCTGTAAAACCAACCGTTTTGTTTTAGATAGATAATCAGACTTTTTTGAATCACTCACGCTCTTAGCAATCAAAAAGTCAATTTCACACGTAAACTCCAAGTTTGGATCTCGCTTCCTCTTCCATAATATATTCAATGATATTTAAAATTATGAAACTTCAAAAGAATTTAATAAATTCATCTAGAACAAAGTTATTCTAAAAACGCAAGTGCTCTTCTCTTGACCACTCTCGGCAAATATATAGCAAAGTATAATAATACTAACGTTGAAACAATTATATTCACATGAGTTATTCTTATGTGCTGTAAGTATCATCGAATGCTTTTTATATTATTAGAAGTATTATAAAGTACTATGGAAAGTATGAAAAAGATAAATACAAATCCTTTGAAGAGTATAAAAACGTTAAAAATAGTAAATCAACTAATATTAAGATTCTGTAGTTATTTGGATGTTTCTGCTATCTTTTTGTTAATATAATTTATGTGCATTTTCTTCTCAGACAAGTTATTTTATCACCATCGTAACACCTAGACTTATTTGAAGCAAAGAAAAAAAAATATATAAGTAATATGTAAAGTAACAACATATATTTCAATAAGTTTCATTTCTTTAACGCCGATTCAAGTGAAGGTTTCTTTTGCTACATTATCGGTAAGATTAGTCTACCGAATTCTCGATCATTTGAGTGATTATACACCAATTTATTCAATGAAAAATGTCTGTCAACGACTGGATATTATCGATATCAGGTACTGTGTTTTTACTTTAAATTTTCAAATTCTTTAAAAAAAAGGAATATCTTCATCATAAAATTGAGGTATAAAAAAAAGTGTAAATATATGTAAAAAAAAGCAATCTTTTTCTTTCCTATTCCTGCTCTTCTCAGCGTGATGCGTGTCAAAGAAAATACATAATTTCATCTGTATACAACATTTAGAAAAGAAGAAAAAAACTATTATATATAATAGACCTAGACATGTATAGAACAAAATTTCTTCGTTCTTCTTTTAAGGATCAAAAATGATTTATGAAGAAGTGAAGATACTATTACAATATCTTTACATACTAAAATGATAATGAGAAATATATAATGTCATACAAAAACTACCGACTGTCGAAAATCATAATATTTCATTAAGCTGAATGAAAATACTATTTTTTTTCATTGAAGTATAGTGGAGAAATCTCTGTCAGAGTAAAATATAGCGTTGCTCAATAATAAATTTCTTATCTGTTGTTTTTTCTGCTTTAGGTTTATTTCATTTTCTTTTTGAAAAGCACATTAAAATGTTTATTTTACTTCAGTTATTCTCATTCTTCATATATTTCTCGTCTGCCGTTGTCTTTTCCCCAGATACAAGTGATTATGATGCGTATGGACTGAAGATAGCTGCTAATAGTTTGATGATTGTTGAAGCTCTAAATGATTATACTGAATTTCTTATTCAATTTGCACCTTATACTGATAATACTACACAGACCGATGATCGAAGTTGTTCAATTGAATACGATAATGAATCACAATTTGTCTATACTATTGCTCTCGGTAAAAATCAATCAACTTACGATATTTTCTTTGTTGGTGAAATGATTGGTTTTGAGAAACAAACTCCATTAGTAAATCGTACATTTGTCGGTGTCCTTAGTTATGAAGGGTCTCTTACTACAATTGATTGTGATAATGGTTTTTATTTCTACATGCAATTTATCCCAGAAGCCTTTGCTCATCAAGAACATTTAGTGATGGTAACTGATTTAATTGGTTCGACTGCTTATGGTTTCTCTGATCTCTTTACATTTTCCTATACAGTAGCTACAGATAATTTAGTAGTACATGGGACGAACTCACTTTCTCCTTCAACATCATTTTTACCTTTTGCTATTGATTATGATGGTAGTCTTGGTGTTATTGCTGGCTTTCTCGATAATGGTCGAAATTCACGTATGTAGACAAAGCCAATAAAAAAATATATGAATATATTGTTCTTTGATTTTTTATTTATTTTAATAGGTGTTAAATATTATGCAATTATTATCTTGTTTAGTATTAATGCGTCAACAGCTATTGCAACACCGATCGGTTCATGGAATTATTCATCGAGTGCAACATCATGGCAAGCTGGATTAACAAATGTAGGAGCTGATCAGTATGCAGCTAAATTTGACATGTCTGTCAGTATAAATCCAATAGCAACACAAGTTCTTGTTGGCATACAATCAATCAATACAGTATTTCTATTCCATTATACAACAACAGCATTGACATTAATTAGCTCAATGAGTCCTGGGCAGGCAATTGGTTTCGGTAAAGGTGTTGCTTGGCTTAGTTATACTTTCAATAGATTTGCCATTCTCGTCAATGTTTATTCAACAGATTATGTTTGGAGTTCTTCAAAAATCTATATATATGATAGTACATTAACGAATACATCGACTCCAATTTCTATTTTCCCAAATATTCAACAACCTCTCTATAATTATATGTCTCCTATTTTCATCAATATTATCACGACTCCAGACAATTTAATTCTTCTCGATAATCAAGGTGGTCTTTTTGTTATTGTATCGGCTCCTATTGGTTATTACTCTTCAACAGTTGGTCCAACTGAACAGATTATACCTGCATTCTCTTCACAATTACCATGTATTCCTGGTACATACAAGAATATAACTGGCATCGGTCGATGTATTCCTTGCCCAGCAGGCACAAAAAATGATGGAACCAATCTTACAGTATCAACCTGTGCTAGTTGTGCAGTAAATACATTCTGTCCATTTGGTTCTACAAGTGATTCTATCTCAAATGATCAGCTTAGTAATGTCGTTCAAGCACTTGCTTATCCATCATCACCAGATCTCAGCGGAATTGATGATATCCTCTTTTTTACACTATTTTCAATTGATTCATCTCCACATTGTATTATTATTTCGCCAATCTTTTGGGCCTTAATCGTTGGTGCTATCGTAGCTATTATTGCAAGTATAATGCTTATATTGAAACATTGTAGTAAACATCCAAAAGCTACAGATGGATATAATAAGTTAGAGGCCGCATTCAAACAAACAGATGTTATTGGTGTAGGTCAAATGTGGGTCGGAGGTCTTGCTACATTTTGTGTTTTAGTACTCCTTATTTCTTGTTATATATTCAGTGCTAAATATTATAATTCATATCCAATTGAAAAAGCTGGACCTTCGACATTCGCATGTGATACAACCATACGAAATGCACTATTTACTTCAAGTTTACGCTCGTTATCAGTACCAGTCTCAGACAGAACTCGAGCAATAGTTGACTTATTAAACAACCAACCAGTGAATCTCAATGTCGCTTTTCTCAATACAGCTTACAATTGCACATCAGATACAATTACATTGACTTATCTCTTAGGTACAATGTGGATACCAATCGTGACAAATGTCTCCTGTAATTCTTCAAACTATATACTTTCATACAATGCTCTCCTACCATTCAGAGAAATTACTGTACAATTTAATTTACCTAATATATATACAATTGGTGGACTACGCATCGGCCTTAGTGCACCTGGTCAAATTCAATCTTCTACAGTAACACTTCAAGATTTAAACTTTTCTCAAACATTCAGTCAAAATGGACGTATGTTAGGACAAAATGCAAATATCGCTCTCTCTCTGACGAAAGTAATTAATGATACAAGTCCACTTATTGTTGGAGATAATGATATATTTAGTGGTCTTTGGATTGGTTCATTTTCGGTGAATTACTATGAATCTTTCTTTGCAGATATTGATTATTTAAATGCACCAGTTGCAAGATCAACAAATTTGACAATAACTATTAGTGAAACATCTTACTATATACTGAATCAACAGTCACCAATCGCTAGATTACCTATAATGATCTATCATAGTTTCCTATTTACAACAACAGCTATTGGATCGTTTACTTTCGTATTTGTCATATGTAAATTGATAATTTTACCAGTTTCAGTTTTTCTCATTCGTAAATGTAAATCGAAACTTGTCAAAAATAATCAAGTTAATAGTAATATTAACAGCGGTCAACATCAGCTTGCTAATAATGATTTACGAATCTCAAGTTCTAACTCCAACTGCCCGCCAGTGACAGAATTCATCACAAGCAAATTTTAAGAATACCATTACAACTATTAATACTATTCGAACTCTTAAATAAAATATTACTGCGTTGCTCATCTTCAAGCTATTTTGCTTTTGTTTTGTTATTGTATTTTATAATATGTTTACTTAACAAGAGTGCGTTTTTTCTTTCAACAGCCATGCACCGAGGACATATTTCATACTATCATAAAAGATAAGGCATCTGTTTTTATTAGCTTCAATAGCCAATGTAAAAAAGTGATACATCATTTCAAGAGTATGGAGGTGGCGGTGAGCATGAGAATATGGATTAGAGTGAGTATATACGAGAGTAGAGCGTGGATGAATAGAAGAATATTTTCGTTATTCACTAAATTATTTTATTTAAAAAAACTAGCTATTCGTGCCTCCACCCTTATTCAGGGAACACAAGAAGATAAGCAGAAGAACAAAGAAGATGATGAAATACATCTTCTTTTATGTCGTGCAAGAAGTAAAAAGAATGTAGAACAAAATAAGAAAAAGAAAGAATAATACGAATGTTATTAGAGAGTACTCTCTAACATTGATACATTAGATATTGAATGAGTTCATAGAAAAAGAGCACAAGTCATCATTTAGCAACAGCAAACCTTGGCGCATGATCTTTTAACGGTGACGGTTTTCTTTCTGATGACTTTGCAACATGGTTTGCAGCAGCACACAGTCTTAGTTACACAACATTTTGGACCACAGCAGCATGAACAACAGCATGG